AGAGCCTTGGATGAAGAGCAGACATTCATAAGGTGGTATCAGGGGTCAAAGTTATTTGGAAAGGCTTTATTGGTGTTGTTTTTGCTTGAGCTGTTTTGAGCCGGGTATCTGACATATGCAAAAACCCATCACATGCTTAAGCGTATGCAAACCAAATTGGGAGTTCCATGTAGCCTACCTACACATGGAAATTCCAGAGATAATTATTGGAATGGGATTCACACTCTCTCCCTGAAGGGATGCATCCTGCTTAGCCAATTCGAGAGACTATTAAGTGCATGTTGGCAAGAGCCAAGGCTTGGGGACCCCAGAGTGTGCGCTGGGCAACAGCTGAAGTCAGCTAAAATCGCATAGCTTGCCATTGTCTGGGAAGCTATCCATTGCTTGTCCAGCGAGGACCGCTTACAATTAGGCCTTTGAATTGGAAGTTGAGTGGGAAGAATCCCTACTCCCAATGACTGTTCTGCCCTTCCAAGTCCTGCTGATGAGCTAGACTCATCTGTGTCTTGGAGCCGTGAAGGTTAAGGAGGAAATCTCACAGAGGTTTTCAAAAGTAGTAATGATCTTAACAGAAAACAAAGCAAAGTACTGCAGATGCTGGAAATCTGAAATAAAAACACAAGTTGTTGGGAACACGCAGCTGGTCAGGCAGCATCTACTGGGGAATGTTGGAAGGGAGTAGATCATAAGGACAAGCAGAGAAGAGCGCGGGGAAAGAAAGACAAAGGAAACATTTAGGTGGAAGTTTTCAAGACGTCTCTAAGCGTTCACAGAATATACTGTGAAGTGAATTGACTGTAGACTTTGTGGGCAAAATGCGGCAGCCAATTGAGCAGAAACAATCATGGATTGAGTGACCAAAAAAAAATAATGATCAGAACACATTTTGCATATTTGTTTCAAATAATTATCAGAGCAAATCATAAAAAGATGATGATTTATAACCACGTTTGTAGATAACAGAGGTGGTACATTAGGAATTGAATCAGTAATCAGTTTGTATGCAGTTACACATCACCAGATTTCACTTCAACAACCCTGCTGCAGTTTGGTAGTTTATAAAGATAGAACAAGACACCGGTCTCATTATTATTGCTGCTATCATCTTATTTCCCCCCACCTTAATTAATATGTTTTCAGTAACTACTAGTTAATCTTGGCATTTATTTAAACATTCAAAATTAGCTATATGCAATGGGCTAAAAGAACATCACAACTTCAGTGAAACCTAATTGCTCTGTTTATTTTGGCCTCTGTCACCTTGATGCAGTTGGCACAGTTTGCAGCCTATTAGAGCTGTCATTCAAACCAAAGGTGAACTCTACTTCCCCAGAGAATTGTTGCATGATTTGCTATGTTCGCCATGGGATCAAATTTGTTTTTCTTTCATCCCACGCAGCTGAGGCCATCTTGAAGATGCTACAAATTAACAGAGCACTGGGGGAGAAAAATCACTAGCAATTCCATAAAAGTTTGAGCAAGGTTTGTCACACTGGTCTCCAGGTATGAATTCTCACAACCTGTGACAGAAAAAGTGGAGGCCTAATGGCTCCCTAGAGAGCCATATAGGTTGCAGGCTTTCAAAGTTCATGTAAAATTCATACCTTGGGGATCTCAGGGACAGAGAGATTGTAGAAACATTTCTTCTTTTATGGTACTTGAAACAAAATTCCAGTACCGGTGAACAAATCTTAGGAGTTAGGAAAAGAGGAAAGAAAAAAGACATGTAAGCATAAAAGTCTAACGCTAACTTGAATAAAGTAAGCAAATGTGGAATTAGGATTCAATATTGGGAAATTATGTTCACTGACGATGAAAGTGAGATAAAGAAGGAACAAAACACAAGTTCATCTTTCGCCGACAAAATATACAGTCAATTCACTTTACAATATATTCCATGAAGCGCTTTGAGACGTCTTAAAGACATGATAAGGCACTGTATCAAATGCCAGGCTTATTATTGTTGTCATTATTATTTAAGGTGTTTGTCTTGAACATATCGGCCGCCCACTAGCAATAGGTAGATCATGTAAAAATAGTAATACATTTTTCCCATTCCACTTTGATAAGCTGTGTCTGCCTACTTTATCTTTTCTGGTGTCTACCCTCCCCCACCACTACCACAAATGCAAAATACAGATCAGTTAACTTCTTCAATTCATTGTGGAGTGAAAGAGCTTACAAATGTCTCAAGTGAGAGTGAATGTTTCTTCAATTTGAAGATGGGGAAAATCTTAGTAATATGAAATGTGAGAAGCATTTCCAGTCAAAATGAAACCCGAGGCAAATGGAAAAGGCAACACAGCATTTAGATTATTGATTCCCAAGGCTTGAACTTCCACTTCAAAGGTCTGAAGAATTCAGGTTTTTGCAAATCGGAACCTTCAGTGAGTATGTTAGGGCAGGAAAGCTAGAGATAACTACACAGATAGCTTACAAAGGTATTGCATATGTTTGTGGTTGAAAGAAAAAGAAAATCCCTAAGGTCTGAATTTAAGGCTGTTGACTTAAAATTTAAAATCGTACAGAATTTAGGAAGATTCTTACATTCAGTTAATCGAGAAGTGTTATTTGTTGGAAGTTTTCTTTTCCCAAATTCTGCACATTCTGCAAAATTTTAAAGCAATGACCTTAAGACGAAAGTGATGTAGAACTCATAGGTGTCTTAGAAGTAATCCTGATAGTCAAGTAGTTCAGCAGGCTGTTATAATGAAAGTCTGCCCTTTGCTCTATTGACAGAGTTAGGCTAATGTCCCGTCAAAGGAAACTTGTATCAAAACTATTATCAGTATTGACATTTTACTCATGGACAGGTGCAGTCACCGAGGATATGCATTGACTTTGATATGTATTCCTTAGTGATATTTTCTCAGTCACAGTAAAGGATGTGGTGCAAGGAGGAAGGGACATATAGTATTTTACCCAGCAGTAAGTAGGAATTCGGTTGTTAATCAATTGGCGAATTGCTTTTCTGGGGGTAATAATTCCTTCAAAATAAATAAATAATAAATTGGTCACTTCAGTCCACGACTGTTTGTGGGACACTGGTGTGAGCAACTGGCTACCGCGTTTCACCCACAAAATATACAGTTCACTTTGCAGTATATTCTGTGAAGCGCTTTGAGACATCTTGAAGACGTGCTGAGGTGCTATATCAAATGCAAGGATTATTATTGTTATTTTTATTCACATTCTGTGGAACAAAAGTAGCCACAAAGGGTGGATCGAGAAGTGATTTATAATAGAATTGGCTGCATACCAGGACAGCCCCTATGAGAATAGCAGATAGCAAGCACTTTGTTTATCAAAGAAAATGTGAAATGCTCCTGAAAGACTTTCTTCTTTCTGCTCACTGTTCTGTTGTAATTTTCTTTTGGGAGTTAGTGGTGAGGTTGAAATAGAACTTTCTGTCTTGATGTTTCCTGAGGTTGATGTCAATATTAGTGAAATAATCATCTGTAATATTACTATCTTATTTGTGGATTATTGTTATTATTATTAAGGTCGCAAAAGGTAACATAAAAGAATGCAAAAATGCACTTTTGTGAAAAAATAAACAAATCATCGTTCATGGAGAACAGAAAGCCTCAATTGCATTATGGTAACAATGAAACTATGAATATCAACATATTTTAAAACTAATGATATGCGAAGGGACTGAAATGATTGTCTTAATCAATGCAAAGTGATTTGAAAGACAGTCTTCAATATTTTTTAAGATTAAATAAACATTGCCAAAAAAGCTCTCCCTTGTATTTTAGTAGTCTTTATTAATATACAGTCAATATAGTAATAAAATCCTATAATACAATTTATAGTAAAAATGAAATGCTTAATGGTAAACTGCTGAATATGGAATGTATTGCATTTGTGAGTTTCGACATAACTGTTAATCGTTAGGTTGTGTCCCCCTCTGATAAATTTAGCACACAAATGCTCTCAGTATTTTCTGTCACATATCCACAGAGCCACAAATCATTAGGAAGTTAAAACAATTCTCTCACTATTGAGAATGCAACTCACCAATGTGGGCCCTACATCTCTGGACCCTCCCAAAGGTATTTTGATGAAATAAAAGTGCTACCACATGCAATAAGCTTCTTGACGATAGATCAGATAGTTATTTGCTGGATTCTTTAGGATTATTTCACGGAAAGTTGTAAATTTGTTTACAATTTTTGAAGTCAGATATAACATTAAGTTCATTGAATTTAAAGCCAATTGCATACCAGTATTTCTTCTGGATACACTCCAAAGAAAATAAACGCTGGATTAACGAGGTATACAACATTAATGAAATGGTTCTTTCAACATTTATGCTTGGATTTTCCTTCATTAAATTCAATGAATTGGAAACTTTCCTTCAAAGTATTGCTTGGGTAAATTAAGCAGATCAGCATCCAAACTGCAATCTTTCTAACAGGTCAGATACAAAACTTCTTTCAGAAGTTTGGAAGTGTAATGTATGCATGTTCTAATATGTTTCAACATCAGGCAGGAGTGAAAGTAAATAACTCCTCTGTTAAAAATAATCGATTTCAACAGATAAATAAAAAAATGACATAATATCTTATGTATTAAATTAATATTTTCCAATGTACAGCTCCTCCCTATAATGAGAAAGCGTTACACTTTATTGGAAAATTGCCATAGCAATGTTTTCCCTTCTGTAACCAAGTGGTTTATCGATTTTATAATAAAATAATATTTATTTGTGAATTAAGTTGTACTTTCCAGTACGTTCCAATATGTTTCCAGTATTAAGAGGAACCTCACTGCATGCATTTGTTGAGACGTGTCAAAGTGCTTCACAGCATATATTGTAAAGGGGATTGACTGTGTATTTTGTGGGCGAAATGTGCTAGCCAGTCTGTGCACAGGAGTGTCCCACAAACAGTCATGGAGTCAGTGACCAATTTCAATTGGGGGATTTGTTCGCCAGGACACCAGGAGAAACTCCTTCCTCTTTTCGAATAGCGCCATGAGATTTGAACATCCACCTCGGTTTAATGTCTCATCCGAAGGTTGGATCACATCATCCGTTCGTGCGTAACAACCAATATACACAGGATAAATTTCATCAATTTTAATCTGATTTTAGCATCAACGAGCTTGGAGACAACGATGGTAACATGTGCTTTAAATTCTTTTAGCACCGCCTGAAATTTATCCTTATTCCTCAATGTTTAAAGGTGCGACTGGATTAAACAAGGGCCGTTTCTTTCTTGTGTTTATTTTCCCGCAACTGATCTCGAATTCCTTTTTAGTACCGTCCAGAAGTTCCAAGCTATACTTTTTAACATCAAAGCCCAGAGCATTCAACTTTCTGATTCGATCCTGAACAATCTGCGTGGTGAGCTCAAGAACTGTAGGGCATCGCTTTATCTGGGATACAGAAAACCCTTCAAGCAAAATGGTATTGAGGCGTTCCTCCAAACCCAGAACCGAATAATATAGTAAAGCTGGGCATTTCAATATCATCTCGTTCAGTTCTTCGTCGTTACAGCGTAACCTTTCTTTAGAGAATGCTCTACTTTTCTCCATGTTTTTCGGGGAGAGTTCAGAGACGAATCCTCGTAGTCTAGAGAGCAGGCTCAGTACCTCAGCCCTGCTGAACTTCATTTTGTGGAGAAGGGCCAGGTTCTCACTCACTACGGCTGGAGATTTCAACAAAATAAAAGGATCTTGGCTCAACAATTTCTGCAGCCAGGCCTTGGCGTTAGCCTCTGCACCACCTAACCGTAGGTAGCTCTCTTGTAAAGTCTCAATCATTGCTCTGTTCTTGTCCACGCTTCCGCAGAAGGTCTGAGGCGCGCTGGCCATTAAGCGGCTGATGACCCTCTTGTTCAGGTTCAATTCTTGGAGATATTCAACGTTTGCCCGCCGATTAGTATAGTTTTTGACTGTGAAGAAGGAGTCAGGGAAACGTTCTATGATTTTCACCAGTTTTTTTTCATTAGGACAGACCGTTCTCCACAACTCACGCTGGGACTTGGCTTCTGTCGGTGTGCAGAGGACAGCCTCTGGACATTGCTCGAAAATGGTGGTTATTGCTGTCCTCTCTGCTCCCATTTCCTTCAAAACTTTCGCAATTTCACTCACATAAGCTGTATCTTCAAACAATACCCAGCTCTTCAGTTTACGAATTTTTGTAATATCCACCGACAGCTGATGGAGACTGTCCACCGTGAGCTTGTTTTCCTTTCTTCCCAAGGTTAAGGCTGTAGAGGTCGAAAACCATCTATCGTCTTTGTAAGTACCTCTGTTCCACAAGGCTGATGAGATCGGGCATCCCTTACAGTGTCTCCATTGCAAAAATCTCGTTCGAAGCATGTTCAGATTGATGTGCATTAAACATTGGCGACTGTCATCAACATGAGTACTGAGGAATGTAAAAATAAATATTACATATTATCACTTAAAACTGTAGTGAGAGAGTAAGACTCCTTAAGCAAAAGCTTAGAAATAGGCATCCTGCATTGACATCACTGGCTGAAGTTTGGCCTTGGAATATTAGAGGATCCTCTCAAACAGCAAAAATTTTAATATACAGTAAAAAAAAGAAAATCCCCCCAAATAGTACAGCTCCCATTAATGATAAAAGTCATAGGAAACATCATATCTCTCTCCTAGCTCTAAGCGATAGCAGTGAGTTGCCTAAAATGGGAAGGTTAATAAAAAAAACTAAACAAAATGGTTGCGAGTCACACTGAATGAGCTCCGGCATCTGCAGCACTTTCCTGTTCTGTTCATCAGCCAATAGCAAGGATACTCATGCAGTTTGAAAAGCTGGCTTTGTTCCATGATCCTTCAGACTTTCTCCACTAGATGGAAACACATAAGTCATAACTGCATATTCAATACAGAGAGTACATATTAATTACACAAGTTGAATCCTGGAATATCCAGTTTATTAAACTGTACCCAAAACATCAAGACTTTCACCATTCACGAGTGATCAAGGGAGAGAATGAACAAAACTGCTCGCAATCCAGGACTAATTTAGCATTTAACTGTCAAGTCTAACCAGAGAATAAGCGGGGTGAGATTTGGAAATATTACACGATTTCAGTGCAGGGGGCACAGTAATACTTTACAAACTGGCTTTGTGCAACACATGGCCTAGGATGAACACTGTACAGCTGAAGTAGAGAACTATTACACGGAATTGATAATCAATTGATAATAACATGATAGCTATTCCTTTGGATGAGACGAGATGACATGTAGGAATGAATCCAGTATTCTACAGCTCTTTCAGCTACACATAATTTTCATGGTGCATCTCTATTCTATTAGAAATAACTTGAATTGTTTTGTGTTAGTCTTTTAAATTACAGACATTTATTATGGAAGCAAAGCCATTTCGATGACACAAACAGCAGAAACGAAACAGTAGCCGATAAAGGCTGGCCTGAGTTACCCATTAAGGTTACTTGATTTGGAGCTAATATTGGGAATTTTTGTTGTAAGAGGCTGGGGCTGATCATGTAGAACTGGGAAACTGAGCAATTGTAGTAAAGCAATCTTTTAATTACTGCTATAATTGAGGCTGAGAAATGGTAGGACTGCATTTGGCTCAGTGGACCAGCAATGTAGAGCCTGAGGCGCGATTTTAATGATGTTGTAGACGTGTTTCGGTACACAATGGTTTTGAGAGAGGTTTCCTGTGAAGGAAAGTAGACTTACGAGATTTGAATACAGAAAAGGATGTAAAACGAGGTCAATTATCATTAAGCTTTTCCATCAGACTCTCTCATATGTGGTATCATTCCATTTGCAAAATCCATATATGAACATGTCTCAGCAACTCACACAGAATATCACTGTTTGATATTGTAACGTACAGAAAGCAACAGTAACTGAGATTCACTCCGACACGACACAGCTTTTTTTAAATAAAAAAACGGTCAAGACAAAGCACTCCGCTCTGCCACGCACTTGTGGTGAAGTTGACCATTATTGTAATTTTGTGACAACGTTTGATTATTTTGCCACAGGGATCCATAAACACTTCTACTGATGTCAGGGGGAAAACACGCAGATTTGGGCTTGATTACAGGACATTACACAGAAGCTGAATCACAGATAACTCACCTGTCATCTCTTCATTCAGTTCCATGCCCTGCACGCCTTGCTTCTCACAAACCTGGAAAAAGGCTCAAAATGATCAATTTTATAATCTTTTACACATTACCCACTCCATTTAGTCCCTGAAAGATGAGTTTAGCAACTGAGTGGGTGTTAAATGCAAATATTTAACAGGTTACAAAACTGGACTTCCAGCTGATTTTCAAAGCCATGCACTGCTTTACATAAATTCTCTTCTCTTGTTGAATAATGCCGTGGGATCTTTAACGTTCACCTGAACGGACAGATGGGACCTCAGTTCATTCGAAGGCCAGCACCTCCGCACGTCACAATGTGGTTCTTGGGCTCATAACCTTCTGACTCAGAAGAGTGCTACCAACTGAGCCAGGCTGACACACAAACTTTGAACATATCCTATCCTGTGTAAAGGGCACAGTTATATACACATGTAAAAATAGACTTTAAAGCATGACACAGTATCATGAGAAATGTAGAGTGTGTGTGTGTGTGTGTGTGTGTGTGGGGGGGGGGGAGGGGAAATTTCCCGTGAGGGAACTGAATGGATTTTGGCCTTTTCCACTCTTTCCTTTCAATATACCTGTGATTCCTGCTGCTCTTGAAGTGGTAGAAAATTGTGGTAAACAATTTCTCTTAAGTGAAGGACATAAAGAGCTGTCAAGGTGTTTCTTCTGACATTATCTGATACCAATTGATACATGTTAGGGATTTTTAAGTGTGCGTAAATTTTAAATGGGATTGAAGAAGGAAACCCAGAACTATACATTTGCCTGCCCCAAGACAACAGAACAAGAAGACGGAGGTTTGGAGTTGCAAAGAGCAATTTCAATATTTTTATTCCCCTCCAGAAGGCAATTAATGATTGGAACAGGTGACGGCTTGATGCAGTGATGGAGAACGTCTGGGTGGGTTGGGTATTCCGCAAGGATGAGATCAAATGGAGTGAAGGGACTTCTTCATTAAACCGATTTCATGATCTTGTGACCTTCATGTTAATTGCATGTTAATTGGTGGGCCACAGCAATGCCTTGTGGACGACAGACCAGCCAGTCTGGCTTGTTAGAAGCTTGCACCTGTATTAATCTAGTGATCTGTGAAGACTAGTGTGGCTGAATTGTCAAAAGTGATTTCTCTTCAATTACAAGGAAAACAAATAACCACAATACAGAGCTATGTGTGTGATCTGCAGGTTCATCAATGTTAAGCAAAAGTTTTCATTAACCGTAATGGAATCATAGATGTTATAGCAAAAGAATAAGCCTATTGAGTCTGTGCTGGTGTTTATCTAAGCCTCCAAGCCTAAACCTGCTTTGCTGTTTATTCCTCATACCTCTGTAATATACTGTACTTTGTCCTTGAAGACCATAATAGAGGCTTAGCCACCAGTAGAATTAGCTAACGGTACAAAACTCCAGCCCTGAAGAGCATGAACCATACACAAAGATTTGACTGTATTTCTGGTTTTGCAAATGGGATTCATATTTTGATGACCTTTTTGCTCCTTAAATTTTGTGCTTAAGTAGCACATCATGGGCTTTGCAACCTTAATTTGCCATCGTAACAAATGTGTCAGATCAAACCCCAGTACAGCTGTAAATCCTGCAGTTTATTTCTTCTGGATATAGATGTACGGAATGCACGATTAGCAATTTGTCAAAACTGACTGAAGTCAATATAAATCTAAGCAACGAATGCTGTGACAGACACCACTTGTGTTCTGTTATAAAGGCTTCACCAGAAGAGATTATATGTAAAGGCAAACGATAGTGACAACAGTATATGTTTAAGAAATACCAAACAAATAATACTTTTCATGTGGTTTACTGGGTGAATTTGTTTCTTGTTTAATGGGAGAATACTAAGTTCACTAGTCCTCTTCCAAGTCCAAGTTGTTTCAGTTTTATGCTAAAACCCAAAGTCTCAGAACCGAGTTTAGCTCATTTGTTTGTGAATTATGAATTCTTAACATTCAACTCATTGGCGAACTGAATATAGTTATATAATTCAGAGAAAATAAAAAGACTTTCCTATTCATGAAAAATGATTGTTACTTCTAAAACGCCAAGTGCTGGATATTTCATGGTGTTGGACAAGGTCCAACTTGCCCGCAAAATAGAGTCAATTAACTTTACAGTATATTCTGTGAAGTGCTTTGAGACATCTCAACCATAGGATAAGGTGCTATATCAAATGCAATTGTTAATAATAATTATTATTATTATTGACATCCTGAACATTACTAAAAGCAGAATTTAAATTTAAAAAACAGGCAAAAAATGCACAGTACACTCATCTGTCTGAAAGCCAAAGACAAGTTAACCTTTTGGATATGACACATTCTTTGTGACTCAGTGTCTGTCTGTTTCGGATGCTGATGGACCTGCTGTTCATTTTGATCGTTTTCTAAGGCTTTACTTCATGTTCCAACAGACTGATGAGGTCAAATTGTACCTGGGTTTAGATTTACTCTATCAATGCAGTATTTCAGAGCAGAGTGTCTGGAATTGGTCAAATCCTTAAATCTTGTCTTTATTTTTGAAGCCAGGGTTTCTGGAAGTTATTTTAAGAACTACAGAAAAATGGCTTCAAAGTTACAACTGAGTTCAATAATTTTTCAACTAATCCACACTATGAAATGTTATGTTAATGGAGTAAATCACTTCCCTGCAGTTTCTTTCATTTTATCCCTAGCAAATGGGAAGAGATATGGCTTTGGTCAATGCTTTATTGTCTCTTGTTTCAGGATGGTTTCTGTTTTGAATATCTATGTTTAAAAATAAATGAGTGCAATGTTGCTTCTGAAAGACAATCTGAAGATGGTACCAATGCTAATGCCCAAAGTGATGCATTCGCACAGTGTAAGGAGAGAATTGGAAACAAAAAATGAAGATTCTTTTTGTATCTAAAGGTAAAAGGTTATTACTTGTTTTTTTCTCTTTAGTTTCTGTTTTGTAGAGAAGCGATTCTTCCAAAATTGGATCATGAGCAGTAGTAGTTTACAAATTCAGGTGAATGTATCCCATTGGATCAGTATCCAATTGAAGGATTTCTTAGCTCTTTTCAAAATAATAACGAACAACTGCATTTTTCCAGCAAATCTTTTGAAGTGCTTTGAGATGTCCTCCCAACATGCAAGGCACTATTTCCAGAACAATTATTATTAATAAAAAATATTATTATAGCATCCCAATGGTTGCTTATTTAATAGTGGAGGCAGAAACCTCCTTGGCTGAACGGCACCTAGCATGTATCTTCTGGTGAGAAGGAATGAAAGGAGACAGT